CAAAATAGGCAGGTTAGGGGAGGGGGTCAATGGATTTGTTAAAGGACGGAGCACAGCAAATTGTATAGTTAATTACTTGGCTAATGACACGGCTAGGTACTCTGTATTTGTTGACATCAAAGGAACCTTCGACAAAGCACAGGGGATTGCGATCCTGGACGAGCTTGCATGCATGGGTGTCAAGGGGAGACTCATGAAATGGGTTGAAGACTACCTCACAGGAAGGAAAGCCAAGGTTTGCTTCAATGGAGCAGTCTCCAGAACAATGAATATGGAACTCGTGACCCCCCAAGGCGGAGTCTTAAGCCCTACACTATTCAACGTACTTATGAACGCCATTGCAAATATTGATTTTCCGGAAGGAACACAACAAGTGGGATATGCAGATGATGTCCTAATACAAGCTCCCACCTTGGGAAAAATTGAACAGTCCATTGAACTCCTTGGAAGGAAATGTATTGAGCTCGGTTTCAATCTCTCTCCACAACCAAGACGAAGGCATACTCCCATCGCAAGCGGAGAGCAAATGAAGAACTGCAAATTAATGGTGTAACACTTGAATGGGTTGACCACTATCGGTACCTTGGTCACTGTCGGCTCTAACAAGGGAAAGAAAGAGGAGCTCAATCAACTCATAGGAACATGCAAAAGTCGACTCAGGGCACTGAAATCTATGACTTGGAATGGACATGGAGCCGCTATTGCCGTGCTTAAAATGATGTACACAGCCTATGTGCGCTCCGTCATAGACTATGCCGCACCAGTTCTGTGCACCTACTCCCAAAGCGATATGAAAAGGCTTGAAAGCATTCAAAATGAAGCCATGACAATCATTCTTGGAGTTCCAAGAACTGCCAAAACGTCTAATCTTCGAAAGTAGTTGTACCTTCCCAGTGTTAAAAGCAGAATTCAGGAGCTGAATGCTAAGCTTGCAATTAGGATAGCCAGACATCCCCATTACAATGATATTGCTAAGAAAAAACTGAGCTCTGTGCTACTTTCAGGGGGAAACAGGAGAAGCAAAAAATGGCATCACAGATCAGTCTGCTACCTTGAAGAGCTTCATCTGCTTGAGCAAGCCCGTGAGCTCCTGCCTGTAGAGAGGTTACCTCCCTGGGAGGATGACTCATGCAAGATCGTCATCAATGAAATGGCAACGAAAAAAATCCAACATGATACCACAAGAAATGAGGCACAAGTATCTCGAGGAAATTTATAAAGAAGCCGGAGATGAACTAAATCAAATCTACACTGACGGGTCATCTAATCCTGTCAATGGCAGGGCTGATGCAGCATACACGGTAATTAAGGATAATACTTTCCAACGCAGAAATGAAGAAAAAGCAAGTATTGAGAACTATGCCTCTTCAACGCAAGCAGAGCTAACTGCCATTGCTATGGCGTTAAGGTTTCTTGAACGGAACACTAATGGTGCAGTGATTTGCATCGATTCAAAAGTAGCACTGCAAAGCCTAAGTAAAAATCGGGCAGAAAATCTTGCAATAGTCGCTGAAATTAAGAGAGCTGTGAGAGTACTTACCAATCAGGGAAGAGTCATCAAGTTTCTGTGGATCCCCTCCCATGTTGGAATATGTGGGAATGAATGAGCAGATGTGCTGGCTGCTGAAGGCGCTGAAGGAGACCATATTGAATACTTCATACCCAAGACTCAACTACAAATTAGAGGTATTATCAGGCAACATCACCGTGACAAGGTAACTGAGGAAAGGAGGATAGAAGCACAAACCAGTGAATCTGTACGATGGTACAACATGGTTGCAGCTGGCAATCCCAGTCATTATGGAGGACGAGGGAGAGAATCAGTAATAGCGAGAATACGTCTTGGATACAAATGTCCATGGAGATTTGGAATGGAAACAACAGTTGATCAGCGAAGTTGCAGAATCTGTGGTGAGAGTGATGGACACCGCCTTGACCACTATCTACGTGAATGTGAACACCTGAGAGACATTAGGAATATGTGTAGAATAATAAACCCCACATTGTTTGAGCTAGGAAAACACTATTTGTCAAATATTGATACTGTTCTTAAAAGATTTCCCCATTTTGCACCCGCAAGATAACGTAAGCTTTCAAGGGTTGATAGATGTTAATCTTCTTGTTTGAGGAGCTGTTCACTTGAGACAGTTAAGCAAGTCCCAGCTATGTCTGGGTACAAGTGACAGGATGAACAACCCAGCGGGTTTTCTTCCTATTGGGGAGTGTTGTACATTCTGCTATGGCAGTATGTCCACTCACAAGATGAGTGGCGCTGCCCAATAAACTTGCCCCTCGGGGCAAAACTTAAAAAAAAAATTAAATTTATGTAAATTACAGATAAATGAAGGATTTACTTAAACAAATTGAGAGGCTTAAGCCAAGAAAATCTCCCTCTTCTGACGAGGTATTCAGTAGAGTCCTTAAAGAATGCAAGTAGGAACTTAGTGAGCCTCAAACTAGTATATTAAAAAATAATTAGAAACTGGCATTATATTTGCAGACTGGAGGGTTACTAATGTGGTCCCAATATTCAAGACGAAGGAAAAGAGAGTTCTTGCTGCAGCTATAAGCTTGACATTGAACTTGGGAAACTTTATAGAAGCAATAATGGCAGCTTATATGAAAATCATGTAGAGAATTACAGGTTGATAAGAGACACCCAACACACGACTAACAAGTAGTCCTTCCTGTGCCACCAATTTACTTTTTTTTATTCTAGTATATTCGAGGCTGTTGACAACAACAACAAATATGGTGTTGTATAACTGGACCTCAACAAGGCCTTCGACACAGTTACCCATGAGAAGTGACTTATTAAGGCCGGAGGACACAGCATTGGAAGAAATGCAAAGTTGGGTCTGTTACGAACCCGATTCCATTGTCGGAGTACGGAGCAGCGACGTCAACGCCACCTGTGAGTCCGCTCCCGAAACCCCCACAAATTGGACGACGCTATCTAGTGGTGACAGGATTATACCAGCAAGAGGCGCTAGATTCCCGTCCTAGTCAGCTCGAGATGTAGCTGGTGCTGACCTCTGGTGAGATGGCACCTAGAAAATCAGTGCCATCTGTTATAGGAGTTGTATGTCTATGTCTGAGTACGTAAGTGATGTTTCCTAGTGTCCCATGTACTGACCAGTGTACTGATGACGTGTCTGTATCCACAGAGTCGATGTAGAGCTGCTGTGGTATGAGGACGGACATTCTACCCAGGGCAGTCAATAGCTCTCTACACCATTCTGCTTTACGGAAGCAGTGAACCGCCTCCGGAGAAAAACTGTGTAGTGTTCTACTGTCTGCCTGTGAAGTGGCAGTGCCAGAATTTGGCTTACCCGGGACTGGCTAGCGGAAAAAGAGACTGACAGTAAGATGCTATGGAGGAGTGTAACTAGCGAGTTGCAAGAAGCTCCTGCCAAGGGTTAGCTACCCTTGTATTTGTTCGAGAAGAGGCCCAGCAGCGCGAGGCTGATGTTCTCTGCCAGCACCAGGCTGGAGGGTGATTGTGGGCGTTCACAAGGAAGCACCTAGTGAGACTGTGTATAGGCTGGCCCGTGGCTAGGGTAGACTTGTTGGTGTTTCCCAATATTAGTTGAGGACGGTACTGTGTGTTCAGGAAACACGAAAGCTGACAAGAATGCATCGATTGAGCATCGAGGAGCGCTTAGTGTCCCATGAGAGAGACACTTGCGTAAATATAGTAATACTTCCTTTAGGATTATATATAAGGTGATGGGAAAGTTATTATATATGAATATATTGATAATTGGTGAAGTGTCGTATTCAATGCAACCCCCCTTTGTGTTTACTTTCATTACCGAGCTCACTCCTTGAAAGCCACTACTAATTTGGGGCCGGATACCAGAACTTTAGTTCCACCAGCAAAGAACCTGGGTGACACCCATTGTGGCTGTAACAGGGTCACAACATGGCTGAGAAGCAGCAGTGTCGGTATAAATAAATTCGGCGTGAATGAATGCTATGAGGCACAATTCTCAAAGTTCCTGCTATTATTGTCGTTTGTTATTTTTTTTTTTTTTTTTGAGATATATACAAGAGTTGTTACATTCTTGTACAGCCACTAGTACGCGTAGCGTTTCGGGCAAGTCCTTAATCCTATGGTCCCTGGAATACGATCCCCTACCGCGAAGAATCGTTTTATCATCCAAGTACACATTTTACTGTTGCGTTAAACAGAGGCTACAGTTAAGGAATTGCGCCCAGTAAATCCTCCCCGGCCAGGATACGAACCCATGACATATCGCTCGCGGAACGCCAGGCGAGTGTCTTACCACTACACCACGGAGACTGTTCTAATTTCTGTTATTTGGAAGTGCGTTTCTATGAAATTGTGGTTAGAGCTTAGAGGCATTTGAGAGTATTCACACGATATATAAGGACTTGGGTAAAATTCTGTTGATTAATTGGTGGGAAAATTGTCAGCCGTCGTGAAGTTATTGGAATGATGCGCACGTCTTCACTGCTACATCTAATCTTTCTACGACAAATAATTGTACAACTAATCTTACTACAACTAATATTACTACAATTACAACCACAATTATATCTACTTCTATTTGGGTATAACAAGCTGTATTTTAAAAAATGTTGAAGCTCTGCATTTTGGTTTTAAGTAAAGTTAGATTCTATAGTAAACACGATTTATTCAACTACTAATACTAGTATAATTACTACTACTTTTTATAATGCTAAAACTACTATAACTAATGATGGGTTACTACTAATGACTACTTCTGCTACTTTACTACCATTGTAATTCAACCACTGCTACTTTGATTATTATTACTACTTTCGCTATTACTACCACTGAGACAATCATTAATTCTGAGACTGTTGCTACTACTTCAACTATTACTACTACTGATACTTGCTACAACTGCTACTTAGACTACGACTGTGACTTACTATTACTGTAAAAAATCACAATAACATGTTCTTCTATCTTTGCATTCACTCTTGTCCAGGGAAGGTAAACTCGGCAGTTAGTGTTGGACTGTTTCCTTGATGAAAACTTTACAATTGGTTTCCAGCGATACTTTACTTTATAGACGGTGTATATAATTTGCTTCAGGTTGTATATTCCTTGCATCAAGGTATACATATTTAGTTGAAAATATACCTATTTGGCATAAGTTATACATATTTAGTTTAAGTTATACACTACATTTTTTAAATAGTGAATGATTAAATAATGACGATTAAATAAACACGATTTAGTTTAAGTTATACATATTTGGTTCGTTACAAATATTTGGTTATACATTATTTGCCTCGTTATAAATTTTTTGGTATAAGTCAGTCATTACTGCTTTTAAGTTATACATTATTTATTAGGATATGCATTATTTACTTCAAGTTATACAATACTTGCTTAAAGTTAAATTATTTGCTGAAAAACATTAATTACAAGTTTCAACGAGTAAACAATGGACTGATCAGGTGCAGGTAGGAGGCACAAGTGTAATTAGTGGATAAAAGTACAGGTAGAAACCCCAGATGTAGATAATGGTCCCAGGGGATGGTAGTTGTCTCAGGTAGGTGGTGGAAGTACCTAGGGGTCTAGGTTTACCTGGAGTTATTCTCAAGTCCGACCACAGGTCGTAGGAGACACCTAGTGTTTCCAGGTAGGTGGAAACAACCACCTAGTGTTACCAAGTATGTGGAAGAAGACGTCTATGTTTACAGGTAAATCCCTGCAGGTGGGCTCAGATCGCTGGGCGAGGGCAGTCGTCGGGCTGAACACAGTAAGGGAAGGAAGGGTCGGTGTTGAAGAGCAAAGCTCCTGTGCAAGTCTCAACGGTGGCTGGCTGACCGGCAGTGTGACAGTTGAAGTACTGCTGGTCACACGTCGTGCACTTGGGGAATAATCCTGTTGACGTGCACGTCATGGACTCCTGGCATCTTCTAGATAGAGGTGATTCCTCCCCCGAGGACCGTGGTATCGTTACACAGTGTATTACAACTGGCGCCGTCCACACAGTGACCCAGCTGTGCGTCAAAGGTGGAACCTGAAGGGCAGGTATTATGGAACATCTCGTAAGGTAGTCCCACATCGACACACAAGTAGTACTTGGTGCAGTCATAGGGGTCGGGTGTCTCTGTCCCTGCGGTATAGCAGTAGGCAATACACGGGTCGATGCAACACCCGCGCTTGTCCGCGCTGCAGGCCTGCTTCACGCCGTCAAAGTAAGGTTGGTCCGCCGGGCAGTCGAAGGGCCCTAATAAACTGCTTCCATAGCAAATAGAATAGCGGCTGCAATTCGTCCGGTCATAGATCTTGTCCAGGGCATTGGTGCATGTTGAAATGCAAGCTGGTAGCGTGCAGTTTGGTCTACAAGGTGTGGTACCAGAACAATCTACGGCTATTGGGTTGAAGGATGTACCAGCTGGACAAGACCCAGGAGCGTCCGAGGGCAAATCGGTCGCCAGACAGAGGTAAAACTGAGTGCAGTTGAGAGGATCTGGTACAATTGGCGGAGGGGAAGGGCCACTGCAGTCTGGCTCACAGATTCCAGCAGCGAGGCCGCAGAGCAGCGCCGCCACCCACGCCACCTGTAGCAAACACCCGCCAGGTTAATGTTCCTGCCGAAACTACAACTAATAAAACTATTCTAACATCTTTACTAGACTCATACAAGTCACTGATAATTTTTATAAGTATTCTAGGATACTGTTGCAATAGTTTTCAGTGTTGTATTAGTTGTGAGTGTTATAATAGTTGTCAATGTTGTAATAGTCGTCGGTTCTGAAGTAGTTGTCTGTGAGAAAATCAATTGGAGCAATGTGGGGACTCGAACCAGCTATCACGGTACTCCCAGGCGTCCACCTTACTCCTTATTCCATGACATTGAATAAGTTATACAACCTTGGATTCCACAGAATCCTCAAAGTTTTGAGGCTTCTACTGAAGCTAATCCAAGTTTTACACATAACCCTAAGCACTCTGGTGTAGGTAAAATAGTTCATCAACAGTACCCTCTAGTTTCAGATACACAAAGAAATGACGCTGACGTAATATATATCAATGAGAAAATTAGTGGAGCACTTGAAGAAACCACACTAACGCTGTGAGATAACGCTATATCTGAAGTTGGTGTGGTTCATGAACTACTTTACCTACACCTGAGTGCTTAGGGTTATGTGTAAAACTTAGATTAGCTTCAGTAGAAGCCTCCAAAGTTCTATATTCAATGGAATCCCAGGTTGTATAATTTACAGATACTTGGTAAGATACCAAGGTTTAGTATATATACTTACATGTAGTTTGTTTTAATGTAATATATAGTTAATTTGTTATGAGTCTTATTTCCTTATGTTGCTTTCTGTCTATCTTTAAACAACAAGGTTTTACAGCGGTCATTTATTCAGTTACAATCTGGAATGGAGTTAGGTACAGAAGGTGACATTTAAGACTTAGTAATAATTAACAGGACATTACACCGCCTTACACATTAATTCCTCCTCTCCACAAACTAGGTCCAAACTAGAGGGGGGGTCCATAATTTGTATATCATTGTTGTTTCTTTACCCTTTTTTGACAGATGACATGATTTTGACCGTCGAATATTTTGTAAAAAAAATTAGGCAAGTAAACGTCATGATTTTTCAGCTATTTGAAAGATAGTACAGTTAGGTGCAAGTTCTTTTGTCGAGATATCCAGGCGCCAGTAACCAGTTGATGGCTTGCCATAACCCGAGGCGGACGTGCTATGCTGGAGCTCCTCATATTGGGAGCATATAAGAAATGACCACATAAGAACATAAGGATAAAGGCAACTGCAGAAGGCCTATTGGCCCATACGAGGCCGCTCTTATTTATAATCAACCAATCCCACTCATATACATGTCCAACTCAAGGTTGAAACAATCAAGGGACCCACCTCAACCACCTTACGCTGTTGCAGGCACAGAAACCCTAAACTTGTGTAACTTCAAAAGACAGATCTTTTATCCTCAACAGTAAATACTTCTATCGTTCTAAACTCTGGAGTTTACATTACTTAATGCTAATTGAAGCTTGCTGACAAGGTAGATATTAGCTCAAGCTTAAAAGACCCAAAACAAATTATCAATACCGTTGAGTGGAATGACAAGTTTGTTTTGAAATATTATGTAAATTTTCGTTAATTGGATAAAACAACGCGAAAACATAGTTGCAAAATGATTGACAAACAATTATAATACCTCTAAACAACAAATCCTTCCAACAGACGCATTCTTTGAACCTCTTGGAATTGTTTATTTATTTGTATTCTGACACATGAGGATACGTGGACACATGGATAATTTGGATGGACACGGATAAAGTGTCTTTGCATATATGTATATTAAGCTGAGATTTTGACAGACAAGCGTTTCCAGTTACAAATGTGAACCATTATTCCCAAGATTCAATAACAGGATTGCATAATTGTTGAGTATTACTTGCAGACATTCTTACCGAGAGCGACACCAGTAGCAGCTGCTTGGCCATGTTGAAGACTGTGCAACTGACGGTGACCAGCTGATAGTGAGCAGGTGACGGTGACCAGCTGATAGTGAGCAGGTGATGGTGACCAACTGATAGTGAACAGGCGATGGTGACCAGCTGAAAGTGAGCAGGTGATGGTGACCAACTGAAAGTGAACAGGTGATGGTGACCAGCTGAGCACTGTAGATGCAGGCGTGCACTACTGCTGCAGTTGTCTTAGAGGCAAGACTTATATCCCAACGATTATCACACCGACACAGTTGCAAGAATGGCGAGAAACCTCTTGATATCAAGCAAATACAGATAAACAACTCATGGAACTGATAATTGATTGTCCATTATGTTATATAAACAAATTAAAATATCAACTCACTAACCATATTTTCCCGTCTTCGTCTTGTGTCTGAGAAAACACAAAAGGGGAGAACCCAACACGACAGATCGGTGCGATAAATTAAGGAAAGAGGTTAGTAAAGAAATTAGAAAAACCGAAAGATTTTACGAAGTTAAGGTAGCAATTTATGTGACGTTGAATCTTAAAGCAATTATCCAACTCTACAAAAAAGGAAGACTGTGATAAGGACAGAACCATTGAAAACAGTATCCAGGGAACTATTTACTAATGTAAAATGGGGAAGTTGACAATATACTAATTAAAATCGGTCCTCACAGAGGAAAACTTGAAAATTTATTCAACATTGAAGCAATCAACCAAGACATTGAGGAAAACAAACTAAATAAAATACAAATATAAAAGAAGAATTTACGTAAACAGATTGAGTGGCTTAAGCCAAGTAAATCTATCTCATGACAAGGTATTCAGGAGAGGCATAAAAAAATATTAGGAGGAACTCAGTGAGCCTCAAACGAGAATATTGCAAAAATATATCGGAGCTGACATTGTGCCAACAGCCTGGAGGGTTGCTAAAGGGGTCCCAATATTAAAGAAGGAGGAGAGAGTTCTTGCTGCATCTATAAGCTTGACATTAAACTTGTAAAAGCTCTTAGAAGCAGTAACTGTATATTACATGAAAATCATGTAGAAAATTACAAGTTGATAAGAGACTCAACACGATAAGAGATAAGGTTGATAAGAGACTGTTCTACCAATTTACTATTATTTTTATTCCAGTATATTCAAGGTATTTGACAACAATAATATATACGGTGTTATATAACTGGACCTCAACAAGGCCATCGACACAGTTCCTTATGAAAGGCCCCTTAGGAAGGTCGAAGCACATGACGCTGGCAGACATTAATAACATTAAACTGGATCAGAGTATGGTTGGAGAAACAGAAAACAGTGTCAGTATAAATGGAGTGAAGACCGACTGGACGAATATCACTAGTGGTAGTGCCATAGTATTTGACCCACTGCGTTTAATCATTTACCTCATAGACCTGGATACCGGAGTAACCAGTAATATTGGCAAGTTTCTGGATGACAGTGACAAGGCGTATAGTGGATACATAGACGACTTGAATGAACTGCAAATAAACTTCTAGCATTTCTGTCTCTGTCTGTTTTATGATTCAAAACGTAATGTCATGGACGAAGGAATATATATGATGAAGGTCTTGAAGTGATTGAGGAACATAAATAAATGGTATAAAGAGGTTTCTGAAACTGACAGAACAGGTTTGGACCCACGACAATTTGAACATGCTAAATAAATATTATTTTAGGAGAATTATGGTTTGTAAATAGAGTAATTTATGAGTATAATTAGTTGTCACTTAACATTTTTAAATACACATTTTAGCAGGTCTCAAGTGTAGATTGGACTGGTATATTGGCGAGAGTAATTATCAAAACGAAGATCTTCAGGAATGCTCTTATAGTCCCTAATTCTTTTGTTCTTAGTAAAAGTAGCTTTTACTGTCCATACGTGGTAACTCCTATTGGTCCATACGAGACAGCTCCTATTGGTCCATACGAGGGGGCGCTTATTGGTCTTTACGAGATAGATCCTATTGGTCCATTCGAGGCCACTTCTATTGGTTCATACGAGACTATTATTGGTTCATATGAGACAGCTATTATTGGCCCATACGATACAGCTCAGATTTATATTCCCACAAACACATCTATATATGCCTAACCTTCGATTGAACCAATCCAACGATTCCACGTCTATTATGCTAGCCAGAAATTTTATCTATAAAACTACAATCCAGTTTCTAAATCAGTATTTAACCGTCTTTCCTGAATTTTAATCATTATTTCTTAAGAACTGACCTTCAGTGTTCTACGTTAATGTCATATGGAGAAATATGTCTTCTGGTGTCCCGAGAAACCAGTTTTAGGCCCTTTAAGTTTCATAATATGTTCCTCGTTGTTCTTGTGAACAATATTATCAGCAAACTTGCGGATATTTCTGTTGCGGATATTATTGTTGTGGATATTACTGTATTGCGGATGTTAAAGTGACCCGCGTAGTAAACATGAGTGAGAATACAGTAAATCACTACAAGACCTCTTGCATTGCTGAATTTATCAGAAAAGTAATAGTTAGGAAGTGACATTCTCACCGAGAGTTGGGTGAACGATAGACAAATCGTGTTGTAGAAGTTACTTGAGGTCATAAGACTTGGACTTGGTCCTGGTTGACAAAGAGGTTATGATTAAAATTGCCAAAATAGATAACAACCATAGTAAAAGTGATAATATAAAAAGTAGAACTGGTATCACCTAGGAAAGCTGCGTCAAAAATAATAAAAGTCCTAGAGAGGTCAAAGTCAAAAGTCGCTCAAGTAAATAAAATGTTTATTACGAACATTAAATATAATTTGTAAATACTGTAAAAATAGAACAAGGAAACAAAATAACGAGAAAGCAAATTAGATCATTGATAACTATCAGAACTGGATGACAAAGGAAATCAAATAACTAATAAAGCCCCCAAAATTAAACTCCTTCAAGAAAATAAACGAGGGAGCTCCACCTAATTGATCAGTTCACTAAACTAAAAAGAAAGTCAAGCAAGAAATAAGAAAAGGCAAAAGAACTCCAGAAGCTAAGAGTGCCAGAGATGCGACGCTCAATACTCAAGCATATTTCCTACTATATAAAGCAAACGTAGTTGAGAGGACATGAAGAGGAAGAAATGAGTAATATACTAAATAGTTATTTCATATCAGTATTTACAATATACAACTTAAATCTGCCAGTCGTAGCGAAATATTAATGAAAGTACTAAAGGAATGCAAGGACTTGTCCTAAAGGAATTAGGGGCCTCTGAGAAGTATATTTAATATATCAGTTCAAGCTGTGGTTGTTCCTACAGCCTGGATGTTTTTTTATATTAACATAGTCCTAATATTAGAAAACGGGAATAGAAAACTTCCCGTGAAATATCAACTAAAAAATTTAACATTCATTAACATAAAATTTCTGGAAATAATAATAAGGTATAACAGAGGCGGACTTAAATATGGCTTAAGTGTCTCAATACAAAATAGAATACAAAGCTATTTATATAAATTGGATAACTTTAGATACAGTAAAGACCTGGGTAAATACTGCTTTGGAAACAGGGTTGTTAATTTATCGAACAAATTACTAGGTAATAAACGTGGGATCACCTGGTTGTTTCAAACGTAGGTTAGACATGATAATATTTAACCTTGGTCCACGACAGTCCGAAATGTAGTCACTTCTTTTTATTCAGATTTGTTGGTTGAGTGTCTGATTTTCAGCCACGATATTGTGAATTACGTTCTGCATATATGAGTGAATGAATGAATGTCCATGAATATGAATAGTAGTTACCACGAATGAGCCAATTGGCCTTCTGCAGTTACCTTTACTTTTGTGGGAACCAAAATGTCTGCTTGCTGTGCTCCCTGATTCTTATATTCTTGTGAAAATTTGTAAATGCAGCTAAATATAGGAGACGATGAATCACAATAATGTGGCTGAAGATTTGATGACTAAACAACACATCAGAAAATGAAGAAACGACGACGTTTCAGTCCGTCCTGAACCATTATCAAGTTGATTAATTGATTATTATTATCCATATAGATTATGCAATTCAGTTTTGGTCATTCATTATATTACAAAATTAACATAAATTATTTGGAAAATATGGAGAGATCATGAAAGCCTAATTTTCATTTTCAAAAAAGGCGAGGAGTGAGAAGTGACATGATTGACATATTCATATGGATGAAAAGGTATTTTATGTGTATATTAATAGGTAATAAATATATCAACGCGAAACAATGGATGAAAATTTGATAAGGTTAGATTTACAAAAACCTGAGTAAATACTGGTATGGAAGTAATGTTGTTAATTTATGGAACAAAAGGAGGGTAACATAATAGAAGAGGAACAGAAGATTGTGCAAGTGTAGGTCAGATATATAATGAGTTTGGATGGGAACAAATAGGATCTGCCAGGATGAGCCAATGTACTTTCTGCAGTTTCCTCTCTTCTTTACTTCTGATGTGAGATGAGGCACCTAGTGTTTCTATGTAGGTGGCTGCAAGTAAAGAATGGGTGATAACGTGAGGCCAGTGGGTGGTGGGCTCATGCCAGTGGGTGGTGGAGTGAGCCAAGTGGGTCACTCATATGACTGAGCCCACCACAGTGGGTGGTGGGCTCAGACCAGTGGGTGGTGGAGTGAGCCAAGTGGGTGGTGGGCTCAGACCAGTGGGTGGAGGCTCAGACCAGTGGGTGGTGGGCTCAGAGCGCTGAGGCAGTTCCCCGGCTTGACACAGTAAGGGTATGAAGGGTCCGGGTTGAAAAGCAAGGATCCTGTACAAGTCTCAACGATGGCTGGCTGACCGATATTGCGACAGTTGAAGTACTCCTGGACACACGTCGGGCATTTGGGGAATCGTCCCACTGCCGTGCACGTCATTGAATCCAGGCAGTCAGGAGATGGAGTAGTCGTACTTTCCCCGGGGACCGTGGTGTCGCCACACACTGTGTTACAATCAACATCTGATGCACACGCATTCGATTCTGAATCAAAAATTTCATCTGATGGGCAGGTAGAATGATATATCTCTTCGGCTGGTCCCACGGCGGCGCAGTAGTAGAACTTGTGGCAGTCGTAGGGGTCTTGGGTCTGTGCTTGCCCCTCCACGCACATGGCAACACACGGGTCACTGCAGCACACGGAGGAGCTCGCGGCACAGGCCCGGCTGGTGCTGTCAAAGTAAGGTGTGCCAGCAGGACATTCTAATGGTCCCAGAATGTTGCCACCCGAGCAAACGTAGTACATGTTGCAATTCTTCGGATCAGGAATCGCGTCCGGGTCGTTGGTGCATGTTGTGCGGCAAGGTGGTATTATGCAGCTAGCGACGCAAGGTGGGGCACCATCAGCAGGTGTAACACACTCGAATGTGTCTGTTGCATCGAACTCTTGACCAGCTGGACAAGGAAATGAAATGGCCGAGGGGGTTGTTTCATTCAAACATATGTAATACTTAGTGCAGTTGGCAGGATCCACTACTTTATCCTGAGGGCCCTTGGTGCTACAGTCTGGCTCACAGGTTCCGGCAGCGAGACCACAGAGCAGCGCCGCCACCCACACCACCTGCAACTGCACAATTATATTGTCAGTAGTGTAACCAGTGTTCGTAACAAAATCGGATATTTTACAATAAATTCAAATAAGGTATTTAATATGTATTGGTCCACATTAAATAAAAATTATTTTAAGCCCGGCTGGGATTTTTAGTTTAAAAGATCTGAGCGGGTAGGTAGGTAGATACTGTGGTGCTTCCACACCAACCCTGGCTGAAACCTGTTATTGCTATGATAATATTGGACAAATTAAACATTATCATGTTAGCAATATTAACAGTTGTTTGTTGTTTTGCTGTCAGTGTTGATATAGTTGCCAGTGTTGTTATAGCTGTTAGTGTTATTGTATGCCCATATTCAACCAGCTGTAATTAGAGACCTGGTTGTAAACAGACTGCCGGGTCGTGTTCAAGGAAAAACTAGTGGGAGCAAGGTTCACTATGAATTATGGCAAGGGAAAGTTTTAATTTTCCCAACAAGCGTAAAAAATCGCCTGTTTCTTGTACTCATCTGTGTAAGAAAGCCAGTTTGGTATACAAATGTCATAACTATTTTAATATTTTTATTATACCGTTAATACTAATTATTACTATTGCAATATATATCAACGACATAAATGCTCTAGTTGATCAGCTACATCAACAAGGTTGCCGACGTTTACAATGATAGGTCGTGCAGTGAATACAAAAGAAGGCTCCAATGAACTACAAAGAGCCTTCAACTAACTGCAATTCTATCCTATAAAATGGCAAATACAGTTTAACATTGAGAAATGCAAATTTCTTAAACTATGGAAAGCCAGCAATGCTGGTCATTGTATTTATTAATACATTTGAAGGTAGATAAGTATAGAGACAGGGTAAACATCGACTTGAGAATGAGACAACAAGGCATGAACTAAAACAAGTAGGATGCTGGGAATTATTAATAAGTAGCCTAGTCCGTGAATTTTATGAAGCACAATTCAGAAGCTGTGCGAATTTATTTTGTGTTGGGCTGAAGGATTAACCTCTGGAGGATTATTATGGCCACCACAACAGTTTATTGACCAAGCAGCAAGTATACATTAACCCAGACCATAGTCCAGAACTACAGTAAACTCTCAGTGTATATATACACCGAGAGATGTGATGGGGTACACCTCAGTGTCTATCAGTTGGTACATGTATAAGAAATAATTCAGGCTCAATAACGAGTTAAATGTTTGTTAAAACTTAAGAGGGGACTTAACGTAAGTGCTAAATACTGAAATCTTGAGAGATAAGGTGATCTATAAAATCGGTTTAATATTCTCAAATATACGATAGCCTCTTACAATGGTTTTTCAAATAACTGATAGACTACTCAAATTCGACCAACCAGTGAAGCAATTTTTTTTATACAAGTGGTTATCAATAGAATAATTTACAAGAGACTGGACATTAACAATAAAATCGTAAAAACATATATAATGATGGTAAGCAAAGAATTTTGTCTTTAAAACCCTGAAATGCATTTTATCGCCACCCAAAGAGTTATTAGAAACAAAGAGCATTTTTGAACTCGGTGATGGTATGCTTGATTATTTTTTTGATTTAGACACGTGATCTCCGTAGACATTCTGTTGATCACGGATAAAGTGTCTTCCCGTGGAAACGTTAAAGACATAATTCTGTGAGACAGACAAGAATTCACACAAGAACTCGTCCTCTCGACTAATACAGTGTATGTTGACGTATAAATCCTCAACGTCACAATATGATGCACTATAAATCATAGTGTAGAACTGAGGCAAAGTGAAATTGACACCAGTAATTCCATATATCATCATACTATCATGCAAGAGGAGCCACACATCTATGGATCATCCAGTGAAATCAGCAGACTTCTAGATGTTACTACTGCTCGGCTTAGACTCGGTTACAAGTATCTCTGGGAATTCTCATTATCTGCTGATGTAGACCTGACCAAATGTAAACTGTGTCAACATTATTCGCACACCCTCCGTCACTATGTGATGGAGTGCGAAAAGATACGTGAATTTAGAAACAATTCTATAACCAATGTTTCAGCGATGTGTAAATATTTCATTCAAAGTGATCTGCTACCAGAAATTTTAGCCAAATATCTCCAGTTTGCTAACTGTAGGTAGTAACTAAGTGATTGTAACCTATCCACCGCTGTCCACTGGATGGGGGGCGGTGTGCAGGACAAACATATAAATTGTGACACTAGCTCTCCACATATGTCAGTTGCTTAGTTTAGAACCTGTACTTGAGGTCGATCTCGAACTCATTGTTGATGTGACGACTTATATTGAATTTTCTAACTAGCTCATCAAGATTGTAACTTGCTTAGCTAAATGAATTGTGGGGTTCAGTCCCTGAGCCCATTATGTGCCTCTGTAACCCTTTCCGCTACCGCCCACAAGATGGGTATGGGGTGCATAATAAATGAACTAAACTAAACTATAAATCATACCGGCTCACGCAATTGACGGGCTGTCTTGTTTTCTATTCGTCGGTCCTCGAATGTTATAATTTAGGCTCGGGCAATTTAGTACATCAGTTTTGTGACGTTGTGAAAGCTTGAGAGGATGGGCTGAGAAAATATACACAAATGTTGTTTCCAAAAAATATAAGTTGCTTTCAAACAAACTCAGTAGTTTACTCAGTAAATTACTGAGTTTTCTGTATCTTTCAAATATTGAAAGGTTTGTATGTATCTTAGCAATCCCTTGTGGATATTCTTACCGAGAGCGTCAACAGCAGCAGCCGCTTGGTCATGTTCAAGACACTGTAAAGCCGACGGTGGGCAGCTGAAAGTTAACTACTGAGCTGTGGTGCTGCTGACCTTACGTCTCGATACGGCTCCTGCTCTTTTGTATTCTTGGAGCAAATGGGCTGGGATGGGTGGTTCAGGCTTACTATGGGTGCAGGAGGCTATTGCTGCTATTGTTGCCTTGGAACAACATTTATACCCTAATCCTTATCACAGTGACCTAATTGATAAACCGTCAGCGAACCTATTGAGGCCAAGTAAATACGTCAAAAACCATATTTACATTTTATTTACATAAAATCTGTTAATTTACTGGCGGGAAATTTACCAGCCGTCGTGATGTTATTGAGGTTAATGAAAGATATAATGCCTTGGAGACATTGATAATGCAACTTGTCATCAAAAATTAAGTGTATCACCTGTTGGTTGAACGTATAAAAATGGAATGACACGTTTTCCAGTATTATATTTGTATAGGGAATGACAAAGAACGGAACAAACATCCAAACATATGGGTCCAGCACTGTATATATATATATATATATATATATATATATATATATATATATATATATATATATATATATATATATATATATATATATATATATATATATTCGCAAACGTCAAGCCGCCTGCTATCTCTGTATCTATCGATGATTTCTGTGTTGTTTACTAGGATTTCTCTGGCGATGGTTTGGTTGTGGGAAGAGATTATATGTTCCTTAATGGAGCCCTGTTGCTTATGCATCGTTAAACACCTAGAAAGAGATGTTGTTGTCTTGCCTATATACTGGGTTTTTTGGAGCTTACAGTCCCCAAGTGGGCATTTGAAGGCATAGACGACGTTAGTCTCTTTTAAAGCGTTCTGTTTTGTGTCTGGAGAGTTTCTCATGAGTAGGAGAGAGTTTTCTTCTCTTTTCTCTTGAAAAGCCATGAAACCTCTGAAGAGACAACTAACAAAACACCTATACCCCCTATTAGACTATTTTACAGGAACTTCTTTTCCACAGCTCATAAAACGGAGGAAAGGGTCCTGAAAGATATTGTTAATAGAAACGTTATCCCTACAGACAAAAATCAGAGGATACAACTGACGATTTACTATAAAACCAGAAAAACGGCCAGCCTACTCATGAGAAACTCTCCAGACACAAAACAGAACGCTTTAAAAGAGACTAACGTCGTCTATGCCTTCAAATGCCCACTTGGGGACTGTAAGCTCCAAAAAACCCAGTATATAGGCAAGACAACAACATCTCTTTCTAGGCGTTTAACGATGCATAAGCAACAGGGCTCCATTAAGGAACATATAATCTCTTCCCACAACCAAACCATCGCCAGAGAAATCCTAGTAAACAACACAGAAATCATCGATAGATACAGAGATAGCAGGCGGCTTGACGTTTGCGAGGCACTACACATCAAGAAGTCAACACCAGCAATCAACAGCCAATTATTGCACAACTATATTCTACCCACCTCAAGACTCCGCTCCAATATAGAAGCATCAAGAAATATGGACCAATAGGCTTTCTACAAACACTTCTATTCAATATCCATTGTTTCGTGTTCTGTCTTGTGTTGATGAAATTAATACCCTATTAATACTCTTGTTCTGTCTTGTGTTGATGAAATTAATACCCTATTAATACCACATTTTGTTCTGTCTTGTGTTAATGCCACATCACCCCTTCCACCTCACTCAAATGTAGATATAAAATCGGAGATGCGTAAGTTCTATTCAGTTGTGTATTTGTGAACTAAAGTCTTTGAAAATGTAATAAGTTTTACGAAACGCGCTCGTGTCGCGTCAGACTAGAAATAAAAATGAATTTTGGAGAATTGATTTTTGATTTACCTCCAACAGTGAAGCGTAATGTACGAAAGATTGAGAAAATTCGTGTTAAAATTATTAATCTTACTTTTTCGGTCATATTTAATAATATATGTCTACAGGAAAGACTGCTACCAAAATATACTAATATTAAAGCGCACGACCCAGCAGCAAGGAATCAAGCCTTCACGATAAAATATCGCCAGGATCTGATTCGTGATCAGATATACAAGGCAGAGAATGAAATCAAAGAAAACAAAACGCAACTACTTCATGCTACAAACGAGTGGAGAAATAGCAACATCGACGATAGTATCCGTACCCGCATCGAACAACACCTCGACATCCTCACAGACCAACATCACCTCAGCACTGAAACAAGGATTATCAAGAAACTAACAACATTATATGGAGGACCTATGGCAATTCCACGACCAAGAGATGGCTTCCTGAACCTTGCAGGAATTAACCTCACTGAGGACCAAGTCACTCTCCTAAATCTGGGCATAAACTGTCATGTTATGTCCAGACCGAGTGAGATGGCCCGGAAAGTGGAGTTGGAAATTCTGTTGGACGACATATTCGACCTCGAGACACAAAAGAAGGTCACTACCAAAGATACCTTACAAGCAGAACTTATTGCAGAAGGAGGAAAGAATCGAGGCAACTACAGAAGCATCATACTGTCCCCCGAGCTTAAAGCGGCAGCTAAAAGCCTTCGTGAGAACAAGGAGATAGTTGTCAGGAGAGGTGACAAGTCGCCAATATATGTCATTCTTAAAAAGACGAATGTCTGGCGAAAATGAACATCATACTCTCTGACCAAACTAAGTTCCAAAGGGTAACGAAGGACACTACAGCCGAATTAAAAGCAAAGGTCAACAACTGATCGGAACTGTGAACGCCAAGAAATCCGGACTCCACCTGCCAAAGATCATTGGGAAATATAAACCTGGATATGCGTATGGAAATGTCAAGACGCATAAGCCTGGAAACCCACTTCGGCCAATCATTAGCCAGATACCCACACCCACGTACAGACTGGCGAAGCGACTCAACGGCCTGCTGACTCCTTATGTTCCTTGCGCCTTCAGCCTGAAGTCTCCAAAGGAATTTGTTGACTTACTGTGGGGCACACGGGCCACAGGGATAAGAGCCTCGTTGGACGTAGAATCGCTGTTTACCAACGTACCTGTGGACGAGACAATCGGAATGATAGCCGACAGAGTGTATCGTGATCCAGCCTGTACTCCTCTTGACATACCAGAAAATATTCTGAGGAAACTACTCCAAGCTTGTACTAAAGAGGCACCCTTCTTGAGCCCGGATGGGCACATGTATAAGCAAGTAGATGGGGTCGCCATGGGTTCTCCCCTAGGTGTCCTGTTTGCAAACTTCTACATGGGTACCATCGAGCAAAAAGTCTTAGTCGACATGAACTTGAAACCGGCCATATACTGCAGGTATGTTGACGACATTTTTACACAGGTACCTGATGTCAGACATCTGCAGGAGCTGAAGGAGGCATTTGAGCAGAGTTCCGTGCTGCGTTTCACTTACGAGATGGAAAAGGATGGGAAGCTGCCCTTTCTAGATGTAACAGTCATGGAAAAGGGCGGAGGTTTCCACACTGCAGTCTACACTAAGGAAACAAACATAGGAATGTGCCTAAATGCCAACAGCGACTGCCCAGACAGGTACAAGAGGAGTGTTGTTAACGCATATGTCGACCGTGCTCTCAGCCACAGCTCAGAATGGAAGCAAGTCGACGAAGAACTCTGTAGGGTAAGGCAGGTCCTAGTCAATAACGGCTTCTCCAATGGTTTCGTCGAAGACATCATAAGAAGGAAAGTGAAAAGCCATGCAACCTCTGAAGAGACAACTAACACAACACCTATACCCCCTATTAGACTATTTTACAGGAACTTCTTTTCCACAGCTCATAAAACGGAGGAAAGGGTCCTGAAAGATATTGTTAATAGAAACGTTACCGCTACAGACAAAAATCAGAGGATACAACTGACGATTTACTATAAAACCAGAAAAACGGCCAGCCTACTCATGAGAAACTCTCCAGACACAAAACAGAACGCTTTAAAAGAGACTAACGTCGTCTATGCCTTCAAATGCCCACTTGGGGACTGTAAGCTCCAAAAAACCCAGTATATAGGCAAGACAACAACATCTCTTTCTAGGCGTTTAACGATGCATAAGCAACAGGGCTCCATTAAGGAACATATAATCTCTTCCCACAACCAAACCATCGCCAGAGAAATCCTAGTAAACAACACAGAAATCATCGATAGATACAGAGATAGCAGGCGGCTTGACGTTTGCGAGGCACTACACATCAAGAAGTCAACACCAGCAATCAACAGCCAATTATTGCACAACTATATTCTACCCACCTCAAGACTCCGCTCCAATATAGAAGCATCAAGAAATATGGACCAATAGGCTTTCTACAAGCACTTCTATTCAATATCCATTGTTTCGTGTTCTGTCTTGTGTTGATGAAATTAATACCCTATTAATACTCTTGTTCTGTCTTGTGTTGATGAAATTAATACCCTATTAATACCACATTTTGTTCTGTCTTGTGTTAATGCCACATCACCCCTTCCACCTCACTCAAATGTAGATATAAAATCGGAGATGTGTAAGTTCTATTCAGTTGTGTATTTGTGAACTAAAGTCTTTGAAAATGTAATAAGTTTTACGAAACGCGCTCGTGTCGCGTAAGACTAGAAATGAAAATGAATTTTGGAGAATTGATTTTTGATTTACCTCCAACAGTGAAGCGTAATGTACGAAAGATTGAGAAAATTCGTGTTAAAATTATTAATCTTACTTTTTCGGTCATATTTAATAATATATGTCTACAGGAAAGACTGCTACCAAAATATACTAATATATATATATATATATATATATATATATATATATATATATATATATATATATATATATGTCGTACCTAGTAGCCAGAACTCACTTCTCAGCCTACTATGCAAGGCCCGATTTGCCTAATAAGCCAATTTTTCATGAATTAATGGTTTTCGACTACCTAACCTACCTAACCTAACCTAACCTAACTTTTTCGACTACCTAACCAAACCTAACCTATAAAGATAGGTTAGGTTAGGTTAGGTAGGGTTGGTTAGGTTCGGTCATATATCTACGTTAATTTTAACTCCAATAAAAAAAAATTGACCTAATACATAATGAAATGTGTAGCTTTATCATTTCATAAGAAAAAAAATTAGAGAAAATATATTAATTCAGGAAAACTTGGCTTATTAGGCAAATCGGCCCTTGCATAG